GGCATGTGCAAAATGAAGTTTTTAGAGCCTTTTTTCTTGAGGATTTATGGGCAAAGTTCCTCCAGTCTCACTCACTGAAAAGGATGAACAGCTTTAGATGAAACTTTGAGCAACAAATGACAGCAGAGTTTGCCAGAGGCAAAAACCTGGCACAAAGAAGTTCAGCCTAAATCATTAAATTTTGCAAAGTTATATATAAGAGAGTGAAAGAAAACATCTTAAAAGGAGAAGTTTTGGATGACCTTAATATGCTGTGCACTGCAGCTTGTGGTGTCTTTAATAGGTTATTTCCAGAGCATCTGAGTGTCTTCCAGTAGTGCATTAAGCAATGTAACATCTGTCACAAGGTTCATTTTCCCTCTCATCTCCTCCCTCGAGGGAAATTCCCTCATTTCTTAACCTCTACTGGACCCCCACTCAATAATGTTCATTACCTCAGGAGAAAAAGCAAAAGCCTATCAAAAAGGGGGGAAAAAAAAGAAAAATAGATAGATAATAGATCTAAGATTCAGGCTGCTTTGGTGACATTTTAAAAGTCTTTTCTGCCAAGAAAAACAGTAATTTCTTTTAAATTTCTTTACATGATATTTAAGCATTGAAAAGGAAAGACAAAATTATTGAGCTATTTTTCCTTCACCCGTGATTATGGAGCAATTTATCAACAAAATGAAACAGGAACATCTGACTGGGATTATTTATTATACAGTAAGGCATTTATTTTTTGTTCACTTCACCAGGAACAGTGTCTCTGTTATGGCTAGTTAGCCATCTGTGTCTGAAGAGCTTTCAGGAAAGGATTAAACTGTCATTTGTTTTATTTCCTTTCATGAAATAACCATCCTAACAGAGCTGGGGCAACACTTGGGTATTGCTGGACTTGCTACCTTAAGGTGGCGTGTAAAGGAGTAACTGGATCTTCCCTGGAGCTAAAGCAAAGCAAAGCAAAGTTTGGGGGGTTGTGTTTGTTCTTTTTGCTCCTCACACTGAGTGTCCTCCTGGAAACGGCACAGATTGGGCAGTGGCTGTGCCATGCTTAGGCAGAAGTGGAATTACCCGTGGGTTTATTTTTTGAAATCTGATTCATTCAGAACGTTCAGTCGGAATGGCCTGGGTTTAAGCACTGAGAGAATGTGCAGCTGATCAGGGTTGGAAGCAGGAGGCTGACAAAAAAAACCTCAGAAGGTAGAGGTGTTCCATGTCCTCCAGGTGTGTGGATTCCCAGCCTCACCCCTCCGTTCCCAGCCCCATACATCCAAGGCCTGCACCACGAGGACAACCAGGTTATGTGGCATCCCTTCCCCATCTACAACTCCACAAGTGGCTCTAAAAACTTGGAACACCTGGAAAGAATGAGCACAATAGGCTGCCTGGTTCAGAGACAGATGATCTGTGCCCTCAGTAAGAGCAAACATGTGGGAAAGCTATTTGCTGGAAGAATGTCCCTCGTGGCTATTGCAGGGTGTCTGTGCCTTGGGCTGCACGGTGCCAACTGCTCATCATGAGTCACATCCACATGTCACTCACAGCTTTGGGCCACAAACCGAAAGTGCTTTTCCAAGCAAGGGGTAGATTTGGAGTGCTTGGCTTGTAGGTCACGTGTTACAGACTGATTTTTTGGGAACACGTGGAAGCCAAAGCTCTCGGGCACTCGCGGTGCTTTAAGTGACGACTGTGCTCTTCGAAAATGAGACCTGCACAGGATTTCACGGGATTTTGCTGAAGTGCAAAAGCTTCTGGGGTGGAAGAGACTCACATGGAGCAGCTGCCCCAGCACTGTGCTGAACCTTGAGGGGACACTTCAGCCAAGGAGGGTGAGCCCTGCCCTTACAAGTGCCAAACATTTGAAAGGATCAGAAGATGGCTTCTCAAGGTCTTGGCCTCCAGGATCACACCTGATACTGCAGTGAATTCCATGTGCCACCTTTGATCGAGAGGAAGAGCTGATCTGTCTTGAGTGAGTGGGAATTAAAAGACCCAGGTATCCCATAGGAACCACAGCTCTGGAGGCTGCTCCAGCAGGAGCTGGTCTGGCACAGCAAACAGCAGCATTGCAGGAGAAATAAAATACTGACATCTATAGGATGTTAAGCATTTCCAACAGCTACAATAGGAAGACACCCATAAATAATATCCGTTCTTCCCTAAAATTTCCTACATTGGTTCACCTCAAGAACCAGTTCAGCTTTCCTGCCCATCATTGTTCACGTGCTCCCCATTGCAGCCCCAAAGTCTCTGTGTCTGGCCTGGCCTGGCCCACAGGACGTTCCCGGTGTGACCCCAGGGATTGTGGGGAAGAAGCACCTGCAGCGATAAATGGGACAGCCAGAGGCAGCAGTGGGGATGGACAGAGCTCTGCTGGAATGACAGCCCTCCCTGGGAAGGGCCCAGGCTCTGCTCCAGGTTCCAGGGAGGCTCCAGCCACCACCACCCATCCCCATGTACAGTACATCTGCCAGCAGCTTCGGGATTCCTCCCGCTGGGAGGGCACACAAGGGGCTCATTCCCACCTCTGCTGCTTTGGGGGGACTGTGAGCAAGGAACCATCGACTCCTCACACCTGGCTGTCCCCGGGAATCCATGGAAAGATCCTGAGGCTGTTGCAAACCCGACCAGGAACACACAGGCCATTATTCCCTGGCTTTCCCCAAGGTCCCTGGTGACAGCACCGCACCTCCTGCCCAAAATGTCTGAGGCTGCTCTGCTTTTTAATTCCTACTATGTTTGCGTCACACTTGAAATAACCTGGTCACAAACTGTGGGGCTGCAAATCCACAGAGCTGTGCCCATGCTCTCAAACCTACCGGAGCATCTAATTCTCCTGATCAACTCCCAGACAAACTAAAGCCAAGAAAGAGTGAGGACATCAACAGCAGGCAGCACTGTCTCAGCATAAATAGAATTATAATGCTGGTAGGCTGACTCTGTTTACACTCCCAAATTAAAATAACCTTTTTCTTATCCCCCTGCTTAACTTCCCTAACATCCCACTCCCATACTGTCAGCAGGGAATCCTGCTGCACTCCAGGGAAGCTGCACAAAGATTTGGAGTCACCGCAGAGATTGAAATCCTCAGTTATACAGAAAAAAGCATTTGGCCACCTGCTTTGGACTGAAAATATCTCTTTTTAGAGAGGATTGGGATTTCCAAGTTGTCAGGAGCAAGACCTGGGAAGATAAAGTAGTAAAAATAATTTCCTTTTTAATGGCAACTTTGTGGCCTTTTCAACTTAGAGAAAAACTTTGAGCTCTCTCTGTCCACAGAACTCTAAAACAGGCAAAACTGTTTTATTTTATTAGTGAAACAACACAATTCCTAGTATTCTTGCTATGACATTTGCTCGGGGAGCTGAGAGAAGAAGCAGTGAGCTGAGCAGGAGCAGGGACAATGGCAGGATTTGATTTCTCCTGCTGCCTTACACAGCAGTGAGTCCCTTGGTCCTCCTCTCCCCCTCCCTCTGTGCTACTGGGAACCTGCTAAAACACACCTGTGGGAGGTTTGGGCTTTTAAATCCGTGTCCTAAATGTCCCAACAGTTCCCTAACTTGCAGAAAGTTTATTCCTATCAGGCCTTTAATCTCAGTTTTTTGGGAAAATCACTGCAAGTATCTCCCTTCAGAAGCCCACAACAGAACATGTTCAAGAGCTAAAGAGGTTCCCCACATCCCATGAAAACTGAATGTTCTCCAAAAGATTAAGATTTTTAGATTTAAAATTCTCGTGTTCAGGCTGAAATTACAAGCTAATAACAACAATCATGTCATTAAGTCTGGATAAAAGGTTTTGATCATGAGGAAAGTACATTCCTACACAGTTCAAATTAAAAATCTCAAAGGTTTGAGCCCCTCCCTCTCACACTCCACCTCCTGTCCCTCACCCTGTGCTTCTGCAGAAACACAGGAAAGAAAGAGCTGAAAAAAAGCAAGGAAGAAAAAATACTTTTCTCTCCAGAATGCAAGAAAAACAGTAACAAGTTCCAGTTATCACAAGAAACTTATTTTCTGCACGAAATACAGTTTGTTTTTTTCCAACGGGCTCCAGCTCACAGGCAGGCTGTGAGTAAAAGTGTTATGCATGAAGGCAAATATGTAGGAATTTCCATGATTTTTATGGATTGCATTGATGAGAAAGGCATTTGCACTCTCTGAACTACCAGTTTTGTTGTGGGATATACTTTGAATAATTCCTTTGCAAAAAGCACGATCATATATTCATTAGAAATGGAAAGTTGTTCTGTAAGATCTAAGCTTCTAAATTAATGGTATTTCAATAACTGAGGTGGCATAAATTAAACATACTGACTCTCCAATTCATCTTCCTCTAAGCCATAATATATCATTGCTCTCTAATTGCAATTCCCTGCCATGCTGTCCCTCTTCATCTTAATTCTAAATGGTCTGCCACTTATCAAACCATTTCTGTGCACTGCACAATCCTCACCCTGAACTGCTCAAATGTTTTATTTTGGAACAACACAGCTCAGCCACAAGCATCATTTTTCTCTTCATGACTTAGTCTCTACTGAAGTAAATCATGGAGAGAACAGTTGTCCCTCTGTGGCCAACAGTTCTCAGCTAATCCCAGCCCAGCCCCAGCCCTGGGAGCAGAGCAGGGGTTAAGCTGTGCCTGCACAAAGCCACTCCGTGCTCCCGGCAGGACCAGCTCCCTCCTGTTAGGATTGGTATTCCCCAGATGTTTCACTTGGAGCTTGGCAGCCCAGGCTCTGTGGCTGCAGTTCAAGTCCCAGGCTTGAGCAGCTCCAGTGTTTATTCTCATAATTTACACTTTGGGATGGCTTATAGACAGTTATGTACTTGGTTTTACAGCCACCACTTCAAACCCAGGGTCTGATCCTGCTGCTGTGGAGTCAGGGGTAGAGGATTCCCAATTCCACCACTGGCAGGAGGCCCCACATCACAAAACCATCTCTCAAAGCAAACAAGTTAATATAAAACACTGCTTTGGTTTAGAAATAATAAAAAAATGCCTGAAATCTTACTTACTAGGAAGTCTTCTTCACAGTACACCTTGCCATTGACATTGTAGAATGCTTTTCCTCGTAGTCTTCTCCCTGTTTAAACACAGGACCGTCAGAATTTTGTGCTCCATCCCCAAACCCAGTTGTTCAGGATGTGAAGTGAAAAGCACATCCTTCAGTGCCTGTCTGTGGGGTCTGTTCCTAGCCCCTCTCCTCTCCAGAGGGTCCCATCCAGAGACAGGGGTGAGGGTCAAGCTCTGGGTTCTATCCTGCCTTACCAAATCAGGCACCAAACCTTGCCTCAGGTATCATCTAAATATTACCTCCAAGTGCAGGTTATGGAACCCAGCTGACAGAAGTTCCTGGGAAACTTCAAATCTAAACCCAAAAATAATTTGGGGAAAAAGACTCCTTTGCAAATTGAGACAATTTTCTTGGCAGGTAAAATCCCAGTGGGCACACAACCACTGCCATCAGCAGCATGTCTGTCTCCAAAGGACCAAGCAAGGGACACTGCATATGGATGTTCCTGCCACCCTTAGAAATATTAATCATCAATGCCACAGCAGCTTCCTGAGACACTAAAGCAGTACAAGGCACACATGATGGAGGGAAGGGCAGGAAAATCACACTGAAAACAAGACATTTTGTATTCCAGTTTTGACATTTGCCATCTCATTAGCCCTTGTGGAACTCTACTGACAAAGCCTGTGATGGTCATTAATTAACTGATGGCTCCCTTTACAGCAAAGAACTGCACAGCAGACTCCAGAGAGTCCCAACAAAAAGGATTAAAGCCAGGAATACAAGAACCACCAAGCCCCACCAGGTTTCAGATGCAGCAGATCAGAGCTGTCTGACCAGAGCTGCTCTGCTGAAAGCAACGTTGTTCTGCCAGTGTAACACCACACAGGGAGAGGGCAAAACACACTCAGCCCAGCTCACCTTACGCCCACTGTGCCAGGGTCCCACTGGCCAAACTCCCAGGCAGTGGGTGCTCTCCCCAGCCCTGTGCAGCCCTGCCAGGCAGATGGCACAGGGATGTGCTGGCAGGGACACGGAGCCAGGGAACCCACAGGTCAACAGATGGCCCCTCCAGGTCACTGCCAAAGCTCCACCCACAGAGTGAGCCTGGACATCTCCTCCAGCTCCACCATAACCACCACAACCTCCAGGAGGGTTGGACTCCGAGGGCCAGCGGGCTGAGCCAGCTGGCCAGTGCTGAGGGGCAGGAGTGCTTTCCACCGTTTCCATAAACAATGTGGAGGAAAATGTGATTAATTTTCAGTGCTTGAAAGTGCCTTTGACACGTTGCCACTGCGATCCGACCCTGGGAAACAGCGTGTGGCACAGAGAAGTTGGGATCTGGGCTGATGCTCTGGGAAGTCACATGCTGCATGTGGCTGTCTGGTGGTTTTACTGTCGTGGCCCAGGGAAATGCTTCTTTTGTGTGCACATTCTTGGGCTGTTGATCTCACGGGCTGCTGTCTCCATACTGCTGGTAGGTGGAGTCAGCCCTTGTTTGTCTTTCCAGCTGCCTGGTAGCTTTGGTGGGGACCAGGAGCCTCGTGGTGTGGGCAACATGTTTATCTCCTCTGAGAGCCTTGGGTAAATCTGTGCCATCCACCAAACGAGGCACAGGGCTGGGACAGCAATCAGGGGGTCATGGGGCCTCTCTCGACTGATGCAGGAGCAACCACCTCTAGAACTTCCCTCCTGCTTATCCAAGCTGGTTTTGAACCTCTCCAGTGAAAGGTAAAAGCACATGGAATGGAAGGAAGAAAGGGAAAGAGGCCAAAATGGCTTTTTAAAGGACACACTGTCGGTGTCGAGCCCAGCCCTGGAACACGACTTTAGATGGTGGGCACGAAGTGGCTGCCCCCAGGCAGGGCCTTGCATGGTGCAGCAGTGCCATCGTGCTCACACACACCTGCCAGGGTGTTTGGTCAGGTGAGGGAGTGCTGGCCACCCCCCTCACCACACCCCACTGTGGCTGGAAGCAGCAGAGGTAGTTAGGGACAAATCCCAAAGCCCGTTCCTGGAAGGATCTGTGCAGGACAGGAACGCTCTGATATCCTGTCATAGGTTTACTTGTTCTAAACAGCCAAGCAGGGAATTTTTCTTTCCCTGCTGTAAAAGAAAGATGTTGAATGGGGGAGAGGGAAAGGGTTTGCCTCGGGTGATTGATCCACACAAAGAACTAACTAGCAGGCCTGCATTCTGAGCTGATGGCCCTCCTGAGACTGTGGGGAGGGGTGAGGAGGGTTTTTTTCCTTCTCTCCTGGGAAACAGGAGGCATTTCACTTCTGCCTTAACTCAGGCAAGGTGTGTGTTGGAGGGGTCCAAGGTTCACTTTGTTCTCGGCCTGCTCATCTGGCTGTTTCTGGCCCTGGCTTGCCCCTGTTTTCCTGCACCCTGCTCTGCCCCCAGCCCGGACCTGCTTGGATTTCATGGGAGAGGTTTGACCCACCTGCAGAGGAACCTTTTGGGGAGGAGGTCGCCCTCTCCCTCCTCCGCTCCCGTGTTGGCAGTGACGTCTGACCATGGATGAAAGGGGGAATTCCCGGCCACAGCCAGCTGCAGACAGTGTGAGTTTCGTGGGAAGAGCTCCTTTTCCCCCTTCTTCCCCTTCTTGGTGGGGGGGAATCTCCATTTTGGCTTCTCCCACACACCAGGGCCGTCAGGGAGCGACCGCCAGAGCCCAGCAGAGCCGAACCCCTGCTGATCGTGGTTAGAACTGCGCCAAAGGATGGAAAGTATCGAACTGTTTCCTTTTTGAAGGGGACTTTTGGATACAGGATTATTGTTTGGTTGTTTTTTGTGTTCTTTTGTTGTTCTGCCAATACACATATATCCATTCATAAGGGGCTGTTATTTTTTCTTTCTCCACACTTCCTCAACTGGAGCCTCTTAATTTTGGATTTACAAGTGCTTAGAAGGAGGAGCTTGGTCTTCCTCACAACTCATCCTCCTTAGCAAAACTCTTCAGTCTCATTAAACTGAGACATATGGGGAGGGTCAGCAGAAGGTGCAGGAGGATCTGTATCCCAGTGTGCAGAGCCTGGCAGTGCTGAGGCTGATCGGAATGGCCCAAATTCTGCTCCCGTTGTTTCCTTAGCAAAGCATCACCGGCAGGAGCCAGGGGGGTCAGAGCTTTCCTGGACTGGGATGAAGTGGGAAGCCTCTGACCCAGAGCAAACAAGGCAAACCTGATGTTTTGGAGTGGCTCTCAGACTTCTGATATCAGATGGGTTTGGCAGCTGATTGCCCTGTGACACGGACCCACCTGAGCCCAAGCCCAGCCAGGAGCCTCCACACCAGCCCCGTGAGCCCCATTCCCAGCCCATCCTACAAGCCTGAGACCTCTGCCCTACAGAGCACTCCCAGCACACCACCTGTCAAAACTGAGGGAAATACTGTTTTCCCCATTTTCCAGCTAAAAAAACCGAGATACTTATTAGGGAACAGACTTGCCTAAACTCATAAAGCAGGCAAGCAGCTTGCTCACATGATAATGACTATCATTAGCAATGATTAATAAGATTGACAGACCTTTCACCTTAGAAGAATTTCATTCAGGGATAGTACAACAGTTATCTCAAAACCAAGAAACAGCAAGTTTATCACTCAAACAGCTGCTGTGGATGCCTATATTGGCTTTTTCATTCTGCATTTTAGAAATAAAGACAAAAGCCCACGTCCCCCTCGCCGTCCAGAAGAGTTTGCTAAACGCCAACACTGAACACAGTCAAACACCACACTCGGAGTGAAAACTGCAATCCAGAGGGAAGTGCTGGCAGCTGCAGCCAGGGAGACAGGAATCCCAAGGAGAGGCAGTGCTGGGGCCCCAGCCCAGAGCAGCCATGCACCAGGATGGGTGCAACACCTCAGGTTGGGGTACCTGCCCCGAGCTCGAGGCACTGCACAAAGGAGTTCACCTCTCAAGGTCCTGGATAACTCAGGGGCCTGCACAGCACCAGCCTGTTCCACGTAGCTGTAAACCCACTATTATCAGTTTGGCACAGATTACAAGTTAAAACCCCCCTGATGTTCCTTCATCCAGCTGAACAAAGCACCTGGCCAGCCACAGGAGATAATATCATCCTGCCCGCTGGCACACAGGACCTGCTGCTTGGCTTTCCTCTGAATGACTGAGTCTAGCCAAGCCTGGTTACTATTTGCTTTCATAATATTGAAACAAAAAAAGTCAAGAGTTTCTGACAAAACCTGATGCAACTTGCCGGTGGCTCATTACAATAACAATGAGCAGCGGTAACGAGCAGCCCAGCAGCGTGGGGTTTCACTGACACTGCCCTGGCTTCCTCCTCCTGCTCTGGGTGCCCTCCTCGGTGTGTCCTCCCTGTCAGACCAGTTCCCAACAGCAGCAGGGATGATGCTTCACACCCGGCCAGAGGAGCAGCAGCTTGGCCAGGAATGCTTGGGGGTACTCTGAGACGGGCAGAGACACCGAGCCTTGCAGCGTCTGCGCAGGGACCCAACCCCAACCCTTACAGGGAACTCCCTTTTTTTCCCTGAGTGCTTCTCAGTCTTGTTTTACTGTACAAAATGAAGCTTATGCACTCACAGGGACAACTGCACTCACAGGGACAAATGCCTGCTGCAAGTAACGTATTTCTTGGCTGACACCCACCCCCTTGAGGGGCAGTGAGCACCAGGATAAGGGGGTTCCACCACCTCACGTGGGAGGCACAGACCTCACAAATGCTCCAGCAAACACTACAAAGATTCACGTAGATAATCTAGTACATAATAAAATACAAGCTAGAAATGACTCTGTCCCAAAGACCGATCAAAATTGGTGTTTGTAACCAACATGACAAACATCCAAAAGAATGCAGGCTTTTGGAGCTTTAAAAATATAAAAGCAGAATCACCTCTAGGTTTTTAACATCGGTTTTCACATTTAACCAGTTTATGAGTCTCTGGTGTTTAAATGTATCTACCAACTTCCTGCAAAATCCTACTTCCTGCAAAATTTTTATCTCCTACACGTTGCAAACTAAAAGGAAGGAATGGGAGAGCTGTTGCTTTATTGAAGGGCTCAACTCAAAGATTCGTCTTGGAAAAGGAAA